ACACACCACCACCACCCACCACACACACACACACACATACACACACACACACATATATATATATATATGTATGTATATGCGGGTGTGTGTAAATGTTCTACTACTGTTGTACTAGTTGCATAACACGCAGCGGTTGCTTGTTGAGTGGTCAATGTATGAAACCACTGAGCATCACCGATGAGTCCATGACTGTTTCCGTCTACTCGCAAATCCAGAATGGTGACGCTTATAGAGGTACTCGTTACACACGCATGGGACTACGCTGGAGGATTGACACGTCTGTACACACGCACACACGAATCCGTAAACGACGAGCACTACATCACATACGTATGTTCGTTATTTACACATAGCTTATAACGACGCCATATGACAAAGGAAGGCCTTAGCATCACCACCCGTGGTATCTCGATGTGCACATACACACCTTTAATTCTGTCTGATCGGCCAGCGACGCGCGTATTTTTCTTCTTGACCTTGTTGTGCCCCTGTTCTCGCGCCCGACTCTCGTTCGTACCGGTATTCCGGCCTAGACTAATACCGGTATACGAGGCAACAGAGTTTCGTTTCCGCTTGGACCTGCGTACGGTAAGCTCCACAGCCATCACATTATCCTCTGCGCACACCGCAACAGGAAGGCCAGGGATAGTTTTATGTACAGAAACACCTGTAGATAGTGCAGTATCTCTCTGTGTGTATGTCTTAGTCTGTGTGCGTGTCTTCGCGTGCGTGTCAACTTCTAGATCACTCACGGTTCCTGCCCCAATGTCTGCGACCGGTTCTTGAACTGATGCGCTGATGGTTTTAAATTGCGCCGGTTTTGACTTTAGAGCTATTTGATTGGACGGTGCGGTTGGCTGTGAGCAAATCAGATCGTGTTTTCGAATGACTTCTAGCTCTTCCGGGGTAATCCAGTACGTCATGTACTCAATCAAAATCTCATCGTATCCATCAGCTGAAGACCCAACGCAAGGAACATACTGTTAGCCGAACCGAACCGAACCAACCACACACAAAGTGACGAGGATAGAGTGTATGCTAGTGCATAGGAAACTTATACAATGGTTTTGTGGGGTAGTGTGAGAATTAGTATTAGCAATGTCATGTATTCATCCAAGATCTTATCATCAGCGATCCAACCCCACTGGTACCGAACTTCTGGTACCATCACGCAGCCAGCAGAACGGGTGTAAGTGTAACAGTTGTGTTAGGGGAAAGGGTAAGAGTAGTACTATGAGAAGACAAACGTCGTGCCTATCTCCATATATAACTGCAAAAGTGCAGTTATGCAACGGTATCTATTGATATAGCCTGGTCGTGGTTCGTCCAATTCAGGAAGTGTCGGACGCAAACAAAACCCCAACAAACCACCACCTGCGGAACCTCATACAGAGATATACAATCGCTCATGGAGACTAGTTCTCCATTTTTCACACGTGTTTGTGTATGATAGCACGACGTGGACTCTATTAACCATCTCAGTGCAGATTACGACTGCGAAACCACACAGGTACAAGTAACTGGTGTGCAATCACTTCCACAGAGCAATCAGAGCTACAACGAGCCAAATCAAGGATACCTAAACCTAGTATAGTTAAATATATACATAATTTAAAATTCAAGTAACATGCCCGAGAGTATCGGTGGATGGTACACCTGGCAAAACATGGTACAACATACAGCAACGATGGCCGAGCCACCAAATTTGTCCTTGTCGACAGTGAGCAATAATCATTTCGGCACATACTATGGAGAATGCACAGTACACGCACCTTCAAGCATATCGAATGTGCTTCAATCAATTGCCCGACGAGGGCGCACAAGGTGTGCTTGAAAGATCTATCTAACAACCAATCTTTCGCACACTGCACGTAGCCAAGTTACCAACTGATAAATATATCGCGCATGATGTACATGCATGAATACAATACCATATAATACCATATATATATATATATATATACATAC